GAGAGCACTATGCCATTATGAGAGTACGTACTCAGTCAACCCTCTTTCCGATTGCGTCGGCCACACTCCAATACGCCGGAGAACCGCTTGTCGCGGAGTAATAAAGAGATGAGCTGTCAGACGCCTCTAGAGAACAGATTTAGGATTTCCGTTCGTAACTAAAAACCTAAGGACAGAACGAGCGGTCATTTTTTCACTCACAAATATGTGTGTTAACGGGTATATAATGGCGGGCGCGCAAACCTTTAACAAACAATCCGGAAATTCATCTAATCCGTTCGAATATTTATTTTAATCTACCGATTATTTTGAGAATTTCATGGGAAGAAGTTTCGGAAACAAACATCGTGCCTGAAATGTTGGGGGAAACGTCTGATGCTGAATTTTGTGGCTGAAGACCCTTAGTGAGATCGGCAGCAATTCTGGAAAAGTATTGGTTAAAGAGACTAGACACTATTGCCGGATCGTTCACATTTCTATCGTTATCTTTTAAAACAACATTCTCTACAAGGTTTCTAGTGGATTTGGTCGAATTTTTTACTATATTCCATATTGCTTTTATTTTATTATTTGAGTTCAAAATATCCTGGTCATGTTTCATGATTTTAGCCTACTGTATGACTTTCCTTAACAATGATTTGTATTTTTTAAAGTAGAGGAAGAAACCTTGAGATGCATCATGATGCTTAGAAATGAAAGAAAGAATTTTGTTTACATGATGTCCTAATCCCTTGCGTTATCCAAGAATTGGTATTCCGTGAAATATTTAATTTTGTCTTTTGAAGAGAAAAGCAAGTGTTAAAATGTAATAAAAGCGTTGAAAAAAAAAAGAATTGTATTTATCGTTTGTATCAACAGTATTGTAAACCACATCCCTTGACTCTTGCAGCAAGTTATTGATGAATAATTTTGTTCTACTTTTGGTAATCTAATCATACGTGTAATATTTATAGTGTTAGTGTTCGCATATCTTATAATGGTAAGAATTTGTGCATCGTGATCGCTCTACCCTAAATCTTTTGTTTCAATTTCATATCGAGTAGTGGTTGTGTTAATTATTATTTGATCGATTGCCTTCTTTAAATGTAGTGTAATCCGTGTAAATAAATTTCCTTGCTGCACATATTTGGATCTTCTTGTGATTTATAGCTATTATAGATCTCGACTCCCATGCACAATTACAGGTACATTTATATTTTGTTCAAATCTCCGATGTTGTGGCCAAAGAACACTTCTTTTTGAACATACTTTACAGACAATGCCAGCACAGACCACTACCCACCCAACAGGTGTTTGGGAATATATTTTAAAAATAAATATGTGTGTTGAAAGTTATGAAAAATTATCTGATTATAAAATTTAATGTTTTAAACTGGTGATGCTACAAAAGCACATTTCTCGCATTATTTGTCACATTTGCAATTTCCCAAAATTCAGAAAAATGTCAACGAAAATGAGGCCTGTGCCATTTTTACTTTCTCGCTTAGCAATATAAAGTTAAGTAACTCTGCAACGAAAGGTAGCGATTTTTGGCAGAAATATTTGTGTTGTAGATTCCTGATACCGAAAAAGCATATAAGTTAGATTCCTATGTGTAGTAAATGGTTTCCTCTAGATTTTTGTGTAGTCAGAATCCACGTTTTGTAGGCCCTTGATACCGACATATTGGTGTAAAGCAAAACGTCTGTCCATTTGTCTGTCTGTGAACAACATTCAAAACCGAAAGTAGAATTTTC